ATCGAGCTCAAAACTGGGGCAACAACATAATATGGTGGGAGGAGTCATTTGGTTAAGTTTGAGTGAAATCCGATCTCTGGAACTTCCCAAAACACTAACCACTCCAATTAGGAACGAACTTCCTTTGAACTTGAATTGTCCAATTTCTTACGCCTATTGATTTCGGATCGAGCCCAAAACTTGGGCAACAGCATAATATGGTGGGAGGAGTCATTTGGTTGAGTTTGAGTGAAATCCGATCTCTAGAACTTCCCAAAACACCAAACACTCCAATTAGTAATGAATTGCCTTTGAACTTGAATTGTCCACTTTCTTACACCTATTGATTTCGGATCGAGCCCAAAACTGGGGCAACAACATAATATGGTGGGAGGAGTCATTTGGTTAAGTTTAAGTGAATTCCGATCTCTAGAACTACCCAAAACGCCAACCACTCCAGTTAGGAACGAACTTCCTTTGAACTGAAATTGTCCAATTTCTAACACCTATTGATCTCAGATTGAGCCCAAAACTTGGGCAACATCCTAATATGGTGGGAGGAGTCAGTTGGTTAGTTTTGAGTGAAATCCGATCTCGAGAACTATCGAATACACCAACCACTCCGATTAGGAACGAACTGCCTTTGCACATAAATTGTCCAATTTCTTACACCTATTGATTTTGGATCGAGCCCAAAACTTGGGCAACATCGTAATATGGTGGGAGGAGTTATTTGGTTTAGTTTGAGTGAAATCCGATCTCTAGAACTACCCAAAACAACAACCACTCCAATTAGGAACGAACTGCCTTTGAACTTGAAATGAACAAATTCTTACAAATATTGATTTTGGATCGAGCCCAAAACTTGGGCAACAGCATAATATGGTGGGAGGAGTCATTTCGTCAAGTTTGAGTGAAATCTGATCTCTAGAACTACGGATTACACCAACCACTCCAATTAGGAACGAGCTGCCTGTGAACTTGAATTGTCCAATTTCTTACACCTATTGATTTCGGAGCGAGCCCAAAACTGGGGCAACAACATAATATGGTGGGGGGAGTCATTTGGTTAAGTTTAAGTGAATTCCGATCTCTAGAACTACGGATTACACCAACCACTCCAATTAGGAACGAGCTGCCTGTGAACTTGAATTGTCCAATTTCTTACACCTATTGATTTCGGAGCGAGCCCAAAACTGGGGCAACAACATAATATGGTGGGGGGAGTCATTTGGTTAAGTTTAAGTGAATTCCGATCTCTAGAACTACGGATTACACCAACCACTCCAATTAGGAACGAGCTGCCTGTGAACTTGAATTGTCCAATTTCTTACACCTATTGATTTCGGAGCGAGCCCAAAACTGGGGCAACAACATAATATGGTGGGGGGAGTCATTTGGTTAGTTTTGAGGGAAATCCGATCTCTAGAACTACGGAATACACCAACCACTCCAATTAGGAACGAACTGCCTTTGAACATATATTGTCCAATTTCTTACACCTATTGATTTCGTATCGAGCCCAAAACTTGGGCAACAACATAATATGGTGGGAGGAGTCATTTCGTCAAGTTTGAGTGAAATCTGATATGTAGAACTACCCAAAACACCAACCACTCCAATTAGGAGCTAACTGCCTTTGAACTTGAATTGTCCAATTTCTTACACCTATTGATTTCGGATCGAGGCCAAAACTGGGGCAACATCATAATATGGTGGG